CTGTATGTATTTTCTAGAGCCGATTAGTGGGGCTAATTTTGTTCAGCAGAGTGATGTAAGCTTTGTTATGATTGCATCATCTGTGACTTCTAGGAATAACATGATGCAATTCATATCATGTATGACGCAATACCAGCTTCAGATTGCATCATTCATTGTTTTGCCTAAAAAGCAAGTACTGTCCAAACCCAGTCATAGATTTATTCATAGATCCAGTCAAAGATGTATTTTAGTCATTTCTGGTTTAAATTGAGATCCCTTCCCTTTATAACTCACTTCTCCTCCGCCATTCCCAAATCAAGGGTCGTATATACTGATCCAATAGCATATCTTGAAAACTAGAGCCAATCAACAATTTTAAGCACCATTTTCGTTCTCAGTGACCCAGAATTAGTAAAGTTTGACTACATTTATTTCAGAAACATTTTGGCTGTAGAGCAGTGTAGCCTTAGCTTGGCTAAGACCACCCTTGTTCTCAGACCTACACAGACTCTCAGTTAAGCCACCTCTAACACTTCCTCCAGACAGGGACATATACTGTCTTTTTCCCTACAGACAAATCCTTCCCAAGTCCTAAAGTCGTTACCTGACAGCTTGGCTGTTGAATGGCTGGACTATACTGCAAAGTATACTGCAAAGGGGTGGGGCTTTTTTGTTTTTTAACTGTCCAGAAGATTCTTTTGAACAGCAGGAAACTATTTACCAGGAATACTTACCTGTGTAAATGGAAACATTTCTTGGGTTGAGCAGAGGTTCATAACTTCCTCCCTTCAGGAGAAAAAAAAAATCCTATATCATCAGCTTCATTGTAAGGAATTGGAACTGTCTATTAACGCTCTAAAAGTACATTTAGCTACTATCTCAGCTATACATCCTCCTGTCCCATGACGACTAGTGTTCTCTAATCCTATAGTGGTTATGTTTTTAAAAGGGATAGCAGAATCTATTTCCTCATCAAACAGATCGTTCCCCCTGGGGACCTGAATCTGGTATTACTAGCTCTAATGGGACCTCCATTTGAGGCTCTTTTGCCCACCTTTCAGCAAAAGTTTCTTTCTTGGTGGCTATTACTTCTGCAAGGAGAGTCAGTGAACTGCAGGCTCTGATGGTGAGGCCCCTGTACACTATATTCTTTAAAGACAAAGTGTTCATGAGGTTCCATCCAAAAAGTATTCCAAAGGTGGTGTCTAGTATCCGCGTTAACCAGACTGTCCGTTTATCTATCTTTTCCCCTAATCCACTATCAAGGCTCCTTCCCCACTCTGAACTTTAGGATACAGATGTGGGGGCCTGCATGAAAACTTCTAAGCTTAACTACCAGCTTAGATCTGGTCCGCTGCCACCACTCCAATGTGCTAATTCCCTTCCCTGGGTAGCATTGAGAGACTTTTCACCAATTCCCTGGTGAATACAGATCCAAACCCCTGGGATCTTAAAACAAGGAGAAATTAACCGTCCCCCCTCCTTCCTCCCACCAACTCCTGGTGGATCAAGATCCAACCCCCTTGGATCTAAAAACAAGGAAAAATCAATCAGGTTATTAAAAAAGGCTTTTAATTAAAGAAAAAGGTCAACATCATCTCTGTAAAATCAGGATGGAAAATAACTTTACAGGGTAATCAAACTTAAAGAGCCCAGAGGACCCCCCTCTAGCCTTAGGTTCAAAGTTACAGCAAACAGAGATAAACACTCTAGCAAAAGGTACATTTACAAGTTGAGAAAACAAAGATAAAACTAACATGCCTTGCCTGGCTGTTTACTTACAAGTTTGAAATAGGAGAGACTTGTTCAGAAAGATTTGGAGAGCCTGGATTGATGTCTGGACCCTCTCAGTCCCAAGAGCCAACAACCACCAAAACAAAGAGCACAAACAAAAGCCCTCCCCCGACCAAGATTTGAAAGTATCTTGTCCCCTTATTGGTCCTTTGGGTCAGGTGTCATCCAGGTTACCTGAGCTTCTTAACCCTTTACAGGTAAAAGGATTTTGGCGTCTCTGGCCAGGAGGGATTTTATAGTATTGTACACAGGAGGGCTGTTACCCTTCCCTTTATAGTTATGACAGCCACATATACGTAAGGATGTCCTCATATGCAGGATGTCTGTCATGCCCACTCCTTGTATATAGACAGAGCAAAATCCTTTGAGATCATCTCCATGTCTATTTATATTCTGTACAGACAGTATGAAAGAACAGGAGGCTTCAGCTCAGAGATGGTCTCATTGGATAACCTCATGTATAACCACCAATTATGAGATAGCAAACACACCAGCTCCTTCAAAAGTGTCAGCTTATTCCACAAGGGTACCAGCAACTTTCTTTATCTTCTTGAGAGATTTTCCTGCAGAAGACATCCGTAGAGCAGTGACCTGCTCATCGGTGCATACTTTCTCCAAGCACTGTGCTATTACCGTAGCCTCCAGAGCTGACTCGAACTTTGGGAAAGCAGTCCTATAGTCTTTATTCAAATAGAATCCCAACCCCACCACCATTCCGTATTGCTTGGGAGTCACTGAGGAGGAATAGACATTTGCAGGCACTTGAAGAAAAAAATGGTTACTTGAGGTGCATGCACATGTTTATTTCATGATCCAATCTCCTTCTCCTCTGCTTCAGATTCCATTGTGAAGGTACTGAAGAAGGGTTGGGATGGCTCTGCCCTTTATAGGCTGGCCTGGGGCACAAGGGTGCATGTTCCACCCTGACAGGTCTGGCTACACAGAACTCTCCGGCTCCGGGTGCACTGGACACGCTCACAGCTGAGTGGAATAGACACATGCACCACACCTCAAAGAATTTTTTTTTACAATACAGGTAACTTTGTTTCTTTTTGCCTTTATTTGATGAAAAGACAGAGATGATCCCTATTTTTTTTTACAGTTCAAAGTATCAACTACAAAATGTGTACAAAATATATTTATCCAGGTGAAAAACTTACCTCCACATATCAAAATTACATGCATGTCTAATTCTAATCTATGTAAAATAAATCTTCTCTAAGTCTGTGTATTCAAGTTGAGAAGAGATTTTATGGTGAACTTCCTGAGAGGAGGATGATAAAAGTAGTTTATAACCATCTCCTAAAGGCTGAAAAATATCACCTTCCTCCCTCCAAATGTTTTAAATAAATACAAAATAAAATCACCTCTGGAAAGAATAAAAGCTTTATAAAAATCTGTAGAAGAGGTCTGAGAAGAAGTCAAGGGCATCTCCTGGTCTTCATGGCTTTCGGTAACTTGTGGTGCTCCCATGGTGTTAAGGTTGATTCTGCATCATTAAAATCAGTGGAAGTTTTGCAGTTAACTTTGGTGGGTGAAAAATCAGGCAATTAAGCCCTAAACCAAAGCTCATTTGGAGCGGGGGGAGGGGAAGAACATTCTCAGGGACTTCAATTGGCTTTGGACCAGTCCTTAAATGAGGCTGAAAGGAAGGGCTGATGAACCGAGGGACTATAGCAGACATTTTTTGTAAGCAAAATAAATGGAAATTGAGGGCGCAAAGCGACTTGCAGAATTGGTCCCATGGTGATGGCGTGCCATGATTCAATGATTGAACAAAGCACTGAAGCACATGTTTTATTTTAAATGTGCTTAAGTTTGATTGATTAAACATCTTTAAGGCCTTTGTTTATTAGGGATACACTTCAGCATATGCTTAAGTGCTTTGCTGAATTGGGCCCCTCAAGAAGTAGGTACTGGGTTCTTTTTCTCTGTGAAAGTGAAAAAGTTAATCCTTAGGGGCCCATTCATGTTCTATTAAAGTCACAGCTCTCATTGACTGCAAGTAGAATCAAACGTGAAGGAAGGTCAAATGCAAGAGCAAAATATAAAAAGACAAGTAACACTCTTACTTTTTTCAAAACTGTTGAAGGTAAAATACGTGTTCAAACTATACACTTTAATACTGATTGGTCCATTGTAACGGCAAAAGAAGTTTACTGTGGATTTCCAGTGCATTCATTGGGGTGAAGGAGGGGAGTACTTATGTGTTTTTTAAAAAACACTTTTTTTTACTGTGATCATGTTATAGATTTTATGTATAGTGATATTTTAAAAATACATTTAAATTAGAATGTTCTTAGAAAAAAATATAAATTGCATAAATATAAATGAGAATGTATATTCACTGTACAATTGTAACTATTTTTTAGAAAATAAGTGAGGCCTCACGATCTACTGTCAGCAGCATAATACTTACATTTAAACTGTTTGTTTGTTACAGATGATGATAAAGAGACTGAAATTCAAACAGTTGTTTCAGAACCAAGTTGCCATACAAAGATCTGTAAACAACAGAAAGCTGGAACATCTCATAACAAACCTATTAGGGAAAAAGTTTACTCTTATGATAGAACAGGTACGTAAATCTTAGTATCACAGAGACAAATTATTTTTCTCAGTTATGCCATTGAAAACAATGGATTTACTCCAGATGCAAACTGATGTAACCGAGAAATATTTGTCTCAATGTCTTTTTTGGGAACAGCTGTGTACTTTTTGGTTAAAAATTCTGTGGGATAGTTCTAGTTAAGATGGCACTTTACTTCTGAAAGACATGTCAGTGGCTTATAACTTTCCCTGCAAATTATCTTTAGGGTTGACATTTTTCACGCTTTGTCTCAGACCAGAAATGAATTTCCGTGTAGGGTTAAAAATGTATTTGTTTTTGAGTTCTCAGATGTCAAAAACATTATTCAGATGACTGTCTAGGTTCTTACGTTGGCTTTTAGCATTCTGACCATTCAGGTTTAAAACTTCAGTTATGGCATGTACTGGAGTCTCCATTGCAATGATCTACTTCGGTACTATCTAGATAGATTGAGATTGGATTGGACATCCAGTGTATGGTACTGGCACCTTTTTTGTGGTGCCACCATTCAGCCCAAGGGATGAGCCTTTTTCAGACTCTGATGTCTCAGTGCAGGGCTTCTTTTCTGTCCTCCACTCACTGAGCCAGCATTTGGATGAAGTCTCCTGGGATGCTACCAGGCATTCTAGGATCAGGTGTTCTGAATATCCATGGGGAACCTTTCCTTATCTGCCCCTTTTTAGTGGGCCTTCTGGAATCCTTAGGGGCCCTTTGGAGAGCAGTTTTACAGGTCTCCAACTACCAGGAAAACCCAACAGCCACTGGTACTGCACCATTCTCAGACACTATCTGATCAGCCCCTGGTACCGCAGAATTGCCATCTGGTACCTCATGGTCTTCCTTCGGTACCTTTTACACCCTCACCACAGGGAAACAGTCAAGATCAGCAGGCTCCCCAGGTGGAGGGAACCTTTCCCCATCAGCTAAGTTCTTTTAATCTCCTGATGAAGCAGTGATGTCCCTCTTCCCTCCTCCCCCTATATTGACCACTTTCGTGGCTTTCAAGACCACATGGAATGCCTTGCAGAATCCCTCCAGATTCCATTAGAGGAAGTGTAGGAGACTTAACAGTCTTTGGGGGACATTTTGAATATTGCCCTCTCAATCAGTGAGGCCCTGGTATCACCTGCTTGTAAAGTCTGCAAACACTTGGCACTATTCAGCCCACCTGTAAGTGAGCAGATAAAGAAGTACTATGTCCCTTTTAAGGATATGGAGAATTTTTTTTTGTTGCACTGCACTCCCAATTCTTTGGTTGTGGATGTGGCAAATGAAAGGAATAGACATTAGCATTTGATTCTTTTGCCTTATGAGAAGGAGTCCAAATGGTTAGATCTCCTGGGAAGGAAAAGCTACACCATGTTGTCCTTCCCATTCTTATTGGCAAAGTATGACTACAACACTTACTCTTAAGTTCACTCTCTTTATTTAACATCTGTTACCGAATCAGTGGGAACAGTTTCAGGCTCTCATTTCAGAAAGTCAGCTGATAGCCAAGACCCTTCCTCCAAGTTGCCCTAGATACCATGGATACAGTTTCTAGATCCCTAGCCATGACCCTGGTCAAGCAGAGAGCTTCTGGTCTCCCAAGACAGGTGCAGAATATGTTGAAGACCTTACCTTTAAAGGAACCCAAACTATTCATTTCTGACCCAGATTCCTCCTTCCACTCTCTGAGGGACTTGACAGCTACCTAGCAGTCACTGGGAATTTACGTCCCTGAAACAAAGGTGATTTAGTGGGTCTCATACCTCATTGTGATCTAGGCTGTTCCAATACAACCTCCCACAGGCTTTTCCCAGACCCTTTGACTTTCAGAGAAGGAGATCTAGGCCTCAAAAGAAGGGAACTCAGTTTTCCACAGTAACATCATCTGCACCTCCCTCCAAGAAACAATGTCTCGGTTGAGTGCCTCAAGCTTCCTACCCTTCCAGAACCTGTGCTGAGTGATTCCATCCAACCCCCCCTTTGGGGATTGACTGTCCAGCTTCCTTCTTGTCTGGGAACAGATTACCTCACAGATGGATTTCCAAGGTCATCAGTGTGTGGTATTCCATAAACTTTCACTCTATGCTCCTTCCCCGTCCCTCTTCAGGGACTTCTCACACAAGAACCTCTTGAAACAGGAGGGCCAGTCTATCTTGTCTTGAGGGGCGATCAAGCAGGTTTTCCCTGAGTTTGTTGGAAGAGGCTTTTGTTCCAGCTATTTCCCAGTTTCCAAGAGGCGTAGATAATGGCAACTGATTCTTGATCTGAGAAAGTTGAGCACCTGCATCCTTTCTCAGCACTTCAGGATGGTAACGTTAGCCACTATAATCAATCTCTAGATCTGGGAGATTGGTTTGTCACCCTGGACCTCTAGGATACCTGCTTTCATGTGGTCATCCATCCATGGCACAAATGTTTTCTACGATTCAAAATAGGTTCAAAACACTACTAGTTCTGAGACCTTCCCTTTGGGCTCTCTTCAGAGCATAGGGTCTTTACAAAGCTTCTCTCAGCAGTGGTAGCCCTTTTATGTTAATAGGCCATAGCAGTATTCCCATACCTAGATGATTGGCTCCTCAAGGGTCAATCAGCTGTAGAGGTCTAGCTTGCAACATTCAAGGCTATAGCCCTATTTCAGTCTCTGGGCTTTCACATCAATCAAAAGAGGTCTACGTTGACGCCAATCCGCAGAATAGACTTAGTTGAGTCTCTCTAGACTCACTAGCCACCAGAGCCTAACTCCCCAAATTGAATTCTCCACTGTTCAGTCTAATCTCAATGATACAACACCACCCACAAACAACTGTAAGGTCCTGCCTATAACCCTTGGGGCACATGTTGGCCTCCATGTTTGCCATGCCTTACATGAGACTGCACCTCAGGTGCTTCAGACATGGCTAAAAATCTATGTATACCTCAAACATACATGGTCTCTCCAAACGTATTACGGTACCTCAAAGTTCTGGACTCTCTCAGATGATAGAAGCATCCATTGAAATCTTACTTGTGAACCCCATTCTCTGACCCCATCCTCCATCAAAGATTCTTCAATAGACTCTTCTCTTTTGGGATGGGGAGCTCTCTTCTAAGGGGACACAATCCGGGGCAGTAGTCCACACGAGGTTTTGCTCCATATCAACATTCTGAAGCTGAGAGCAGTGAGATACACTTGCCAACACTTCCTTCACACCATACAGTGCCACTCCGCCAGGGTAATGCTGTACAACAGGCCAGCAATGTGTTGTATCCACTGACTAGGCGGAGCAAGATCCCAGTCCTTATACACAGAGTTGCTAAGGCTGTGGGACTGTGCATTTTCCATCAGACAGAAATTTCAGCAGTCTTCCAGGTCTCCAAAATACCGATGCAAACTCTCTGAGCAGACACTTCCTCAGGATCACAGCATCTGCCAGACCTGGGGTTCCCCAGAAGCAGACCTCTTTTCCACCCTGAGGAATGTGAAATGCTGCCTTTTCTTCTCCAAGAGAGAATATGGACATAACTTGTTGGGAGGTGCCCTGATAATATACTGCCTCCCTGCCCTACTCTATGCTTACCTATCTCTACCTCTCATCCTGAAGACCTTATTCAGACTACAAGAGGAAAGAGTGAGGATCATCCTCATAGCACCATCATAGTCAAGACAAGCGTAGTACTCAAACCTCCTTCACCTCTCTGGCAATGCCTGTCTGACTTCTCAGGAGAGATCTCCTGTCACAGAAGGTAGGGACCCTGATCCATCCCACCTTCTCCCTTGAACCTCACAGCATAGTTCCTAGATGGTTCTCGAGCATGGAGCTAACCTGTTTGGACAGAGTCTAGTCACTTCTCCTATCTAATGGAAACCTAGTACCCACAAAACTTACCTTCAGAAGTGGAAATTCTTCCATTCCTGGTGCTCTTTTTCTTGGGCCTCAGAGTTTCCACTTTCGAAGATCCTGGACTACCTATTGGATTTAAAGAAACATGATCTATCAGTGAGCTAGAGTAAAGAACACCTAACCACTGTGTCAGTCTTTCACTCACCTAAGGCTTCTTAGTCTTTCCTCACCCTGCTGCACCTAGATTCCTCAAGGGTTTAGCCAACTTTTCCCCCCTGTACAGAAGCTGATCCCCCAGTGGGACCTCAGTTTGGTTCTTAATGCTCTAAGGAAACCTCCCTTTGAACCAATGTCTATCTGCTCACTCTTCCACCTCTCCCTCAAGACGACATTCCTCATAGCTTTCACCTCAGCTAGATGAATGGGAAAGCTCAGTCCCTTATGGCTGACCCACAATATATCACCTTTTATAAAGACAAAATTTACACTGCATCCTCCTCCTGAATTCCTCTTGAAGGTCTCTTTGGAATACAGTAGAACCTCAGAGTTACGAACATCTTGGGAATGGAGGTTGTTCATAACACTGAAATGTTCATAACTCTGAACAAAATGTTGTTCTTTCAAAAGTTTACAACTGAACATTAACTTGAAACTTTACTGTGCAGAAGAAAAATGCTGCTTTTAAACATCTTAATTTAAATGAAACAAGCACAGAAACAGTTTCCTTACCTTGTCAAATATTTTTTTTTAATTTTCCCTTTATTTATTTATTTATTTATTTTTTTAGCAGTTTTCATGTAACACAGTACAGTACTGTATTTGCCTTTTGGGGGGTGGGGCATGTCTCTACTGCTGCCTGATTGTGTACTTCCGGTTCCAAATGAGTTGTGTGGTTGATGAGTCAGTTCGTAACTCTGGTGTTCATAACTCTGAGGTTTTACTGTACCGTATTTATCAGGAGATCATCTCCTAGTGTTCTACCCCAAGCTTTATGCCTCCACAGAGGAGACCAACCTGCATATGCTGCATTTTAGAAGGGCCCTTGCTTTCTACCTTGACCGGACTAAAACCTTCGAGGCCTCTCCTAAGCTATTTATATAATTTGGAGGAATTATATAAGAGAAGGAAGGGTCAACCTACTTCCACATAAAGACTATTAAACTGGATTTTTGGGGTACA